GATCCCGCGGCTATAGTCCGCTTGCAGTGGGCAATGCTTTATAATGCGGGACGATCCTGTCGAGCACGCTGTCGCTGCGTAGCGTGTTCTTGCCACCACACTGCGTACTCAGATTGCTCAACATGTCCGTAGTCGTCAGGAGGGGTGCCGTCCTGATTTTGCCGTGAAAGCTGCGCCTACTCCAGGCGCAGATGATGGCGATCGCCCCAAGACGTGGGAAGCTTGGTTGGACAGCTTGGCTCGGCCCAAAAGATGGGTCTGTCAGTTGACGTTGAAAGCCGGCGCTACACTGCTACACGATTGGGTGTCAAACGCGTCGTGTTGCAAAAGCAGCCTGATGGGTCTTGGTCTGATCCGGTGATCATGGGTAAGCGCAGAAAAAAGAGCTTCCTGTGATCCTTGGTTGTTGTGCGGCGGAGAAACATTATGTTTTGTTGAGCCCAAAGCATGGTATTGAATCCATCCCTCAAGCTTGGCGTTCCAGTCTTGGTGTTGATGGTGATATCACGTTGTCGCAGGGAAGCTTGCGCGGACCTAGAAAGAAAGCTTGGTTGCTGGAAACTACTCCGGCGAGTAGCAAGAGTCTTCCAGCAGAGCGTGGTTGCCCAGTCGTGCTGCTGCCAGTTCTGGTGCGGATAGTCCTTCTCGTACGTCTGTTGGATCCCAATCTGGTCGTGGCTTGTCTGTTGCTGGCGGGCTTGGTGTTGACAAGACTCCGTCGTGTAAAGTGAGGAAAAGCTGGTGATGACTGTTCGGAGGTCGCTCCGACTAAGATCGCTAAGAAAGTTACCCCTAAATCTACTTCTTTGCGTGTTGGTTCTGCGAGGGCGGCCACGCGGGCGAACAGTGTTTTGAATAAAGGTGTTGCAGGCAAACTGCCCGCAGCTCCGAAGTCTCACAAGGCCAAGAAGGCTGAACTTAGAGTATGGACGTGTGGCTTGTGTCAACTGCGCATAGAAGGGCCCTGGACGGGTAGGTCGCCTGGTGGCAGGCGATGCAATCAACTTGCCTGTAGGCATGCTGGTGAAGATTGTCGAAAGCGGGCACGTTGGCGAAGAGGATCACTGTTGTTGTTGTTGTTGCTACTTGCTCGTTGCCTGAAGAGCTGCGTGGTTAAAGTTGTGGCTTGTGCAAAGCTGGGTTGCCCGTGTTTGAGGGCAAGGGCGCCACATGGGCCAGGGACAGGGCGATCGAGCTTCATAGAGTGACTGCCCACCCCCAAGTCCCAAGAAAAAAGTTCAGTGCTGCACGTTGGATAAGAAAGGAGGACACACTGACCTCACCGCGGTGAAGGACAGTTTGAGTGACAAACTGAAGGAGCGGATTCGCGTGCGTTTGATTAAGAACAAGAAGAAACATCGTGGTCATGAGTTGGTTTATACCTCGTATTATAGGCCTTGCAAGTTGAAAACGTCCGATCGACCTTGTTCTATCATCACGTGTGTGAAATGTTGGGGAATTGGTAGAGAAAGGTTCTTCATGGAAAATAAATATTAAATATCCGGGGAAAGCTGCCTATCACATCATCAGGACATGCTGGTGGAAGAAGCAAAGGGAGGCCTGGCCGAAGAATGTTGAGTTTTTGACCAACGCTTGCAACATCAAAGCCGAGGAGGTTGACAGGTGTTAGTTGGTCGCAATCGACGCCAATTCCGTTGTGTTTGACGGGTGGGAGCGCTGGCGCGTGGAGCATCCTTCAAATTTTCGACGGGTGGGAGCGATTTCTGTTTAGAAGCGACGACCCTCTCGCTGTATTTGTTCTGGCGCAACATGCTCTCCGTTTCGTCGCCAGTAATTGTCTCCTTTCTTTTGGCGGACGACATTAATCAGCTGAAAATTATCTCAGTTAGACTTTGGCTAAGCTACACATGGGGTTGTCCTGTCCTTTACTTTTTCCGACGTCTTCTTTTTTTCAATAGCAAAAATGCAGGAAAACCTACAGAAACGAAAAAACAACCTGGAACAATTCTAGTAATTTTTTCCTATTTTTGAAAACCACTAGTTTTCTATTCTTTGCTATTTTTCGTAAAGCTAAGAAAGCCAAGGTTTTGTTTTTCCATTTGCGCGGACCTTTTAAGTATACCACCGCCACATATGAATGGGCCCAAAAATCATGTGGGACTCGCACCGGCCCTCGTCTGTCGCATGATGGTGGGGAGCCTTTCTGAGGTAGGAAGAAGATCGTGCGCTGAATGCAGGAAGCACGATGCCTTGTGTTGCTCTGGTATTCAGGAGGGAAAAATCACAACCACCTAGAAATGGTGAGGTGATGCTACATGCACCTACAAAAGTGAATGTTCAAGCCAAAATGTTGTTGACACGCAGCTGGCAAGAGTCTGCGATTCGTGAACCCTCCCAAGAAGCTTCCCGGATCAAAGCCGGGGAAAACGTGCTGATATTCCTTCCCAACTCCCCCGTATGCACTCCAGCTCCGCCCTTCGTCCTTTCCTTGCGAGCTCCCCCCTTCCACTCGTTCGGAAACCGAAAGATCCTCAACTGATATGTTTAGTTGTGTGGATATGTCCTCGCGTTGTGTGTTGACAAGGTGGGGGTACTCCGAACAAACATTTTCATGCTTTCACGAGTTTGGGCACGGATCTTCTTTTCGGCAAATGTTCTCTCAAGATGTTTCGGTAAAGCCCGCCGAGAGAAACGTGGACAATGCTTGTTGCCAGTGCTTGAAGCAACTTGTTGTTCCTTTTGTTGCTTCAGGTGAGTTCTGGGTCCAATGCTTCAATTTTTTCGTGGCTTTCTGCTCATTCGCCGTCCTCAACGCAGCTCGGCCAGGAACCCTTTTCCTCTGCTGATAGGTAGGGTCGGGTCAGGCTTTCAATTTTTGACGCGAAGTTGCAAGAACATCAATCATCCATCAGATGTGCTTGACAAGGGTTTGAGAAGCGTGCAGGAGGAGCTGCTAAAGCAGCCAAGAAGTTGTGTAAAGCTTGCTCATTTTCTTCCATTTGTATTCTCTGTCAGGGGCCCATGTCAGCGTCAAATTGTTGGTTAAATTGGCGTTTGCTGTTCCTCCATCTTGATTAGTTACGCGAAGACAGCGAACCAGTGAAACATGAACAGCTTGTGCGCCTGTAAAAGGTGGGTGCCCTCCTTAGTGGTGGAATGCTGAGTGGGTAGTTGCATCATGGCCATTTAACAACACGGAGTGCAGAGAATTCGGTCTCAACAATTAACATTGTTGGTTACTTCGTGTGCCCATTTTTTCTCAGCAATTGCCTTTCTGCTTTATTTCAGGTTCGGAATGTAGATGTCGTACATTGTTGTTGTGGTTTGTTATGTCGCGGAGACTTCTTGGTTGCCATCAATTTGGAAGTGCTTGTGGTGCACATTTATCCGCGTCAGTGTTGGTAAATGACGGCGGTCCTTGATCAACTTCTTTATCGCATTTTGGGTCAGCACATTCGATGACTTCAATGACCTTTCCGTGCGCGTGACCAGCTGTGGGTTGGCCTTGCTATTGTCAGGCGTCGAGTTGACAAGTGTTGCGGTCGAGGTTTTGTGTTGTGGTGATTCTGGCTTGACACGTCTGTATGGAGCATGTGGTGTTGCGTTAGTAGCGCGGTTTAGATTCAGCGAGGCATTCGTGCCTGGTGCGCGTAGTCTTCCAAAGTTGTGCTCACAGAGACGCATTCAGACTTGTGCGATCATGGAAAAAGCCTTTAGCTTCGACAGAAGTTGTCTGAGGCCATGCGCTGCGTGGCCAATTGAGCCTCCGCGTGCTTAATTGACTCTTGTAAGCTTCGCGGGTTGCGCCTGCTAGGTGTTATCAGTGTGGGGATGTTTGGGGTCAGCAACGTGGATGGATTTGCTGGTGTTCCCATGTGGACAATAAGCCGTGGATTGCATTCGTTTTTTGTGCCCTCGGGTGACTTATGTGGCGTGCGGCATTCTGGTCATGACCTCGTGCATCATTATCATTGGCAATGGGGTCGATATTTCTTCTAGTTGGGATGAAGTGCTTTAGCGCGTGTCCGTCTGAGGATCGTAACATGGTTTCGTCTAGCGATCGAGAGTCACTGACGCTAATCTCAACGCCTGGGTGCGCCTGGTGTACGCAGTCCTTGAAGGTCGGGCTTGGCAAGAATGACCCCAACGCTGAGGCTTATGCCTTTGCTAAAAGTCTTGGTCAGGCAAAGTTGGACGTTGAGTTGTTCGCCATTTGGCGTAAGCTTACCAATGTTACCGAAGTTGTAACGTGAGAATGCCTGCTCGAGAGCCAACCGATTGCCTGCGCTTGCTTGCCCGTGCCCAGATAGGTGCATGCTGTTACGGCTTTTGCGGTAGCAAGGTTGTCTTTGGTTGGATTGTTCGGTGGCCCACCTCACAGTTGAGCACCCATATTTGGGCTCTTGTGAGTGCGGGTTCTCATCGCATGTGCTTGCCCGCTATATTAATACGTGAAGCATTGCTTGAATGTCAATGTTTTGTTTGCAGCAGGTTTGGGTGGGAGTGTGGACCGTGCTGAGCTTAAGAAGGCTCGTGCCTGGGCGTCTTTCACTGGGCGTCCTGCTAACGCTTTCATGCTTGGATGCGTCGCCGATTTGTGGACCAGAAGTCAGCGCTGGGCTTGGTTACGTCATCTTACGGGTGAGTGCGTTGACTTAACTTCCTGCGTGGTGTTGCATGGCTGGTTGCAGCAAGTGGTTCGCGCGGGCTTTGCGAGACTCGTGCTTCAGCACTTTTTATTCACAAGCCAGTTCGTTGCCTTGCTTCAAACCTGGGAGCCTTGGTGAACGCGTTGCCACCACGAGCCTTTCCACCTGGGACGGACTCACCTAGTGGCTGTTGCCATCCTCATCTTGTTGAGGTGATGTAGCGGGTAGCCGTCATGCTTTTTGCGTTCTTGCTTTGCCTAATGTTTAGTTCTTGCTTGTCTTGCTTGGGTGTATGTCCGTCCTCTTTCAATTTTTTTCCTGGTCTCCTGCATGCTTTCAAGTTCAAACCTTGTGCGTACAGCGTTTCTTTAGATGATGCTCCGCCAGGTAATGACTGGTGTTTTTTGCAACAGTGCTATTAAAGCCGCCGAGAACGATCACGATTTGGCGGTGCAGTCGTTAGTGCAAATGCGAAAGGAACTGAAGGACCAGGTCATGAACTTATTCGATACCATTGACGAGCGTGGATTGGGCCAGCTCACAATCTCTGAGTTTGAGCGGCACTTCGCTGACGATGCCGTCAAGGCACTGCTTTCAGTGTTGCTTCGGCTGCTTCGAGTTTAAAAGTAACCCATCCAGTGCACATGAGAAATTGCTGAGCCAGGGTCGAATGCATAAAGCCCTTCAGTTCGTACATGGGTTCCACTTGGAACTCCCAGTTGGCTGGCATGATGTTCCACAGTTCGGCACAGTGCTCCCACCGGAAACCTTGTTCAGGCGTTCTTCGAGGTTTTAAAGATTGGAGCGGTCGATGCGTGGACCCTCTTCACCAGTCTGGATAAGGCGCGACCCCACACTATACCCAGCTGCAGATCAACTGTCGACCAGCCTTTGCCATGCAAACTGTAGATCTAGGATTCTAAGAGCTATCAACACCTTACCGCAATCGGTTCACGCTGACACAGAGGACGGGGACCACACAGTGAACGTGGATGAGTTTGTCGAGCGATGACGCTCAATTGCAGTGCAGACTCCCACGACAAAAGTTCCTCATTTCGCTTTCACACAGCTGCAGGGTGCGACTGAACTGAGATTGCCTTGTAGCGGCTTGTCGAAGAATAAGCAATGCTTAGCAGTGGGTTGCTGGATTCCGAGGTATGCAGCTACATGGACCTGCAAGGTCTGCTGACCTCTTTGCAATGAGGCAAGGGTATCAGCATGTGAAAAGGCGCACTGTTTTTTTGACATTAGCACCTTGCACAGTCAGCTTGGCATGAGCTACTGTGCTAGAGTGTGCTAGAGTATGAGTTTCGCTGATGAGGCAACAGAGTGTGGCTTGCCTGGAATGGCCTCCTTTCTTTTTGGAATTCTTTGGATGTGCTAGCATGTCTGCGCCTATGTGAGAACTTGTGATGTCAGCCGTAACCTGCCCATGGCCGTCGTGAACTTCAGAAGGTTGCTGTTGTGAATTAAGCGGACTGCGAATTGACGTGCCCTTCGGCCTGAATTGCAACCTAGAGTGAAGGATTCAAACTGTGGAGCTGTAGACCGTACTGGCCTCAATCTCTCTTTCTCACTGCGCATCGGCTTTGGCGAAGCTCTACTACGGCCGTCTTTGCACTGCGGGCTTGTGGCATCAACACTCCAAACGCCTTTTTCATTCTTTTTGGCTGTTGTCTGCTGCAACTTCGATTAGCTGGATCTGCCCACTCGAGTTTGCGTGCCCTGCAAAATACCTCTTGGGCCACATCAGCCAATGCTGTGAATGAACATCTTGAGCAGCTTTGGATGTTGCGGGCCCCAGCTCGCGCAGGCCCTGTGGAGGTAGTGTGGCAAGTCTGCCGCATGGTTGCCGGCGTCAGGGGCGTTCAATCGTAACTGCATGTATGGTTCAGGTTTGAAGCGCATCATTCAGGCCCTGAGCATTAAGATGCACTGACTCACTTGGAGCCCCCCACCTGGTCTGCATCCGGGAGCAGTCTGCCGCACGAAGTCTCAACCCTGGCTCCGCCAGAGGTGAGGAATGGAAAGCAGCTTCGGAAGATCGAGGAAGCACAGCAGCGACTAAATCACCTGATGCTCCAGAACCCTGGCATCATCAGTCATAGCTTTTCTTCCTTCAAGTTTTGAGGTTTGAGCTCTTTGTTTTCATGGAGTTGAAGGTGCAGCGCAGCTAGTATGCTTCCGTACTAAGGATTGCAAGTGCTGTGGCACCGCTTCCCCAAACATGTCCTACGTGGTTGTGAGGCTGCCTGTCTGCTCATGCTTGCCCATGTTCAATTCTAGAGTCTTTTGGCAAAATGTTGAGGTGATGAGATATGCAAAAGGTTGCTGTATCTTCCTGTGTGACGAAGGATCAGGGCTAAGATGTTGAGGGGCGTGTGAAAATGCGTGATGGAGAAATCCTTGAAGACATGTTGCCTCTGAAGTTTCCATGAGCTGAACGAGAAACCCTTCTTCACTTGTTCCCATGCAAGGCAGGATCGCAAGCAGTGAGACGGAAGGCTGTGCGCACAGTGCTTCCCTCAGGCACCTTGCAATCATTACGGCCTTTGCAGCGCATTCGAAGGTCTGCACGCGGTGTTTAGGAGATCGTTTCCGCTCAGTAACAGGACGGAGTCCTTGGATGTAAGCCCATTGCAGTCACCACCAGTCATATAAGTTAGGTGGAATCCCCCACCCAGTGATAGTGACTAAAGGACAAGGGTGATTATACTTAAGGGGCTGCGCCCAGGGGCGGGCAACGGCAGCATATTTTCTTGGGTTCCCT